CAATTCCTCAGCACCACATAAGCAAAAAGAAAAAAGCCGGAAGTGGCACTGTGGCTCAAGTGGTAGAGCACTAGCCTTGAGCTGAAGAGCTGAGGGACCGCACCCAGGCCCAGGGTACAGGCCCACGACCGGACCCCCCCCAAAAAAACCCAAAAAACAAGAAAACCAAAAAACAAAAAAAGAAAAAACCTGAAAAAAAAAAGATAAAAGCTGCCTTAAGCTGGAATGCTTATATATCATGTATATGTTACAGCATGAAAAGGCCCCGGAAAATGTCCCAGTTGGTAATTCAGTGTCCTCACCCTATTTCCATGCTTCCCCTGTGTGGTTGAGCCTTGACTCCATCTGCATCACCCTGAGTTGCCAGTTGTAAGGTTCCGGCTTCCTGCCTCCCACTGCGCAACCCCATGATATATGTTAATGCTCTTCCCTGGCACAGCAGGAGGTAGAAAAGGAGGAAGAAGAAACATTGATCTCCCTGTGAATTTTATGTCCTTATGTTTAAAACACTAAAAATTGAGAAGACATTAAACTGGACAAGAGATTAAAAAAATAATTCAAGGGCTGGGAAGGTGGCTCAGTGGTACAGCGCTTGCCTAGCATGCATGAGGCCCTGGGTTCGATTCCTCAGCACCACATAAGCAGGAAAAAAAAGCCGGAAGTGGCGCTGTGGTTCAAGTGGTAGAGCGCTAGCTTTGAGGTGAAGAGCTGAGGGACAGCGCCCAGGCCCAGAGTTCAGGCCCACGACCAGACCCCCCCAAAAAAATAATAATTCAAGCAGCTTGCAAGAGAGTATGCACTGACAAAATTTTCATCCATTCCAGCTCAATAATCTTTTCCAGTTGCCTTAAATATTCTCCCAGTAGTACGTAAGTATGCACATTGGAAATGGACCTGAAGTGCTTGGCGCTGGTATGGTAGCTCATGCCTGTAATCAATCTTAGCTAGCCAGGAGCCTGAGATCTGAGGATTGTGGTTTGAAGCCAGCCTGGGCAGGAAAGTCTTTTTCTCCAACTAACCACCAAAAAAGTGGAAGTGAGCTGTGGTTCAAGTTGTACAGTGTTAGTCTTGTGCAAAAAAGCTCAGGGACAGTGCCTAGGCCCTGAATTCAAGCCTCAGGATTGGTGTGCTTGCGTGTGCACATACGTGCCCCCTCACCCCCCAACACACACACATACAATGGAATTGCAGTCTCCAAAGATTGAAAATCAACTACTCGATTGAGGAATTGAAATCTGCCCTAGAGTCTGAGGGGTTTGGCATGTGGTACACTGCAAGTTTGACACAAGATGCTGGGTTGCAGTGGGTGACCTTCAGTGACCTGTAAGTTCTGCAGACTGCTGGCTGCACTCCTTTACTGCTTCCTTTCTTTAATTAGACCCTGATGGTTTCCATATGAGGCTGAGGACCATGGTGAAAGGCCGCCTTGCTGTGTGCATTCATGAATGACAGCCTCTTGTAAGATTATCTGAGTGTGCCTTGCCTCCTTGGCTTGCTTTATTTTTCCTTAAACAAAAGCAGTTGTGGGTGAAATGACTTCTTGTATAATTTTTGAGTGAATGTCTTGAAGTTGAATCAATTTTGTGGTTAGATTCAGTTGGAGAGAAATGCAAAAATGTGTCTTTCTAATTGCACTTTTCTCCGGGGGAATACTGGTACTGGGGCTTGAATTCAAGGCATGGGCACTGTCTCTGAGCTTTTGTGCTACCGTTTGAATCACACTTCCACTTCTGGATTTTTGGTGCTTAATTGGAGATGAGTCTCATACATTTTTCTGTCAAGGTTGGCTTCAAATTGTGATCCTCAAACCTCAACCTGAGTATCTTGGAGTACAGGTGTGAGCGACCAGTGCTTCGCTTATTACTTTGGTTTTATTTGTAGTTTTCTTGATTGTACTACTTCTGCACAGTTCTTGAGGTTAAGTATTTGTCAAGGTCCTCTATTCTGCCTAAAACTCTTAATAATAGACAAAATGTGATGGCCTTCAAAGTGCCCTCCATTGCTTGGATGCAACTTGGCCCCTCAGAGACAAAGCTATCTGCATATTATCCTGGGCTCTCAAGCCTCAGGCAGCAGATTTTGCTTTGAGGCTTCAGGGATTTTGTGGAAGCTGGGGTGTAGATGCATAGACACTGGCTCCATCTCACCATTGTGGTAGAATTAGAAGGCAATTAGGATTAGCCTGGTCATGGGGAATAAGGCTCTCATGTGCTGGGGATAGTGCCCTCATTAAAAGTTCCAGAGACCTTACTTCTGTCTTCTTTC